TCCGAATTTTTGTTTTCCGGATTTTTATCTTCCGGATTACAAGACATATTCTGGATGTAGATGTCTATTATCTTCTCAGCTACACCTACACCCACCCTCTGTTTGCAGTTATCTAGATGTGTTTTTGAAGGCAGGCATACATTTTCTATACCTGCATGAGTGAGCGAGCTACAAACTGATGTATATTTTAATGTTTTTTGCTATCTAGATGTGTTTTTGAAATCAGGCACACACTTTCTATCTCTAAGTGAAGGATCTACATATTCATGTTTATATTTACGTGTGTAGTTATCTAGATGTCTTGTTGTAAATCAGATATACATTTTCTATGACTGAATGACTGAGCTACCAAGTCATGTTTATATTAATTTTTGTAGCTATCTAGATGTGTTTTTGAAGACAGGCATACATTTTCTATACAGCTAAATGAAGGAGCAACCAATTCCTGTTTATATTTATGTGTGTAGTTATCTAGATGTCTTGTTGTAAATCAGACATACATTTTCTGTGCCTAAATGAGTGAGCTACAAACTGATGTTTATTTTAATGTTTGCTATTATCTAGACATTTGCGTTACGAAAAAACCAATTACTCGCCAAACAGATTTTTACTTCCTTTCGGACACTTTAAAAAAATACACTGTATCACCAGTATATATATTCTTTCTTCGTACGCTGAAGTTTTCGTAGTATATCGGAAAGAACACAAAAAATCACTTCTATCTAGCCTTGTCAATAAGAATTCTCAAGAGAACAATCAATGTTGTCACGACCAGCCTATCGAATCCGGGCAGCATATGGACCTGGAGTAGGACAAAGAAGCTTCCGACCTACACTAGCACCTGCGTCGAAAAAATCACGTTTTGCTCTTATTGCTGGGATTATTTGTTGCATTGTTATTATCATAATTGTCATTGGACTGGGTCTTGGTCTTGGTCTCGGTCTTGGTCTTCGGAATAAAGGAGTAAGTATTAAAACAGAAATATATCAGCTTCTTTCATCATTTCCATAATACGAGACGTGGTCAATCCCCACACAGTAGCCACTGGTCGAAGCCAAACATAGTTAGTTGAAATGCCTCACTCAATCATAGCACAAATATTCAAAAGCAAAGCAAGATGTCTAATGGTGCTTGATGGAGTGGAAATGTCATCGAGATATTCCATGTGTTTGGCTGCGCTAAGGCTAAATAAGTGTATTGTCAAATGAATGCATACGCACGGGGTTGATTGCGTGTGCAATGACCATCAGTCATATCATTGTGAAACTCGCGTTAGTACTGCAACAAATTCACGAAGCTAGATGTGTTTCAGAGCAGGATTGCATCTAGTTGCTGTCTCGTTTTCATCGTTCATCCCTTCGCAAATGTAACTTAAGTTTCGAGAAATTCAACGCAATCCAATGCTTTATAATTGTTCGAGTAAAACCAGAATCCTTCCTTCGTACATCCAGTTCCTTACTCGATCTATCAAATTTCTCGGCATAATTTAAACAGTCGACCGACGGAATTGGCTTACCACAAGGCGAGTGAAGGGGATTGGCAGATAGGATCATTTCTAGTCCACTTGAGTTCTCGTCTTTTGCACTGGAATATGCCGAAGCACGCCTATGATCACGTTCAAACACACAGTTTTGCGAAATCTCCCCTCAAGATTTTTCATGCCTGAGATTTTATACAGGGATGTCGAAAAAATATCGGTCACTTTTTTTCATCTTTAATCATCTTGGTTTAGTAAGTCACCTATGTTGATCACAAATATCACCGTAAAACTTCCGAAAAGTTTTCTCGTCTCTTGAGAGAAAGTTTTTACACTTTTCTTATCTCTGTGTAGAAAAATGGGGTTAAAGAGCTCTGCAACTGTCAGCCGGCGTGTAAAAAAGCTCAGAAGCATCTGACGAGAACCACAAGAATAGGTTCTATCCCATGCGATGGCGACCGAACTTTTACCCGTAATTATGTCTGACTGTTTGCTACAAAAGTATGTGCTGCAGGTTTCAAATCGTTCTGTTTTGGTGCCAAAGAAGGTTTCTACAAAGAGCACCAAACAGATGATCGTTTTCACTTTTTTTTCCACAGATGGCCCTAGTAGTAGATCTGCGAGTTGCATGGTCTGTGGATGAGTTGTAGACTTCGTATTTCTTCTCAACTTAACACAAGCCACAATTTTTAAGACTCAAGGTGGCTCGATGTATCCGTTTTACGAAACAGTCCATCTGCAGCACGATGACGCATAGAATGCCTTCCATGAAATAGTGAAAAACGCCAAAACCTCTTAGATTTCTATAGTTTATCCCGATTGAGCTGGAAGTGGTCTCAAACGATACAGAAGAAAATTCCGTATCGATTGCTGTACCACAATCCTAAAGACAGCAATGGAATCTTGAAGTTTTGTTATAGCTGAATGTTGCGATATTTTATATATTTTGACATAGGGATCTGGTTCGACAACAGCGGGGTATTGCAAATGTGCATGCACTTATTCGTGTTTATCAATATCAGGCCTCACATGCAAACCAAGCCAGACTTTTAACCCCTCACCATCTGTATCAAGTTGCAACAACTGCCAGGCAGCATGTGAGACAGCCAGCCCTTGCAAAGCTATCACTAGTGGCTCTATCAACTTAATCCCTACCGTTTCTCATAACTGTTCATCGTTGACATCTAGCAGAAATAGAAACTTGAGTTAGACACGTCGCTCATCGATAATAACATTTGTTCATTGAACGTTCCGCTGGAATTATTTTTCATTTTATTCAAGAAATAAATATATCTTTTGCGATAAGATGTTTTCTTGACGGTAAATCAATCTGCTAGTATCAACTTTTGCTTTTCAGTGATCGGTTTGTTTCATGATAATTTGAAGTATAGGTGATGTGCTTAATGGAGGGTGAGTTTATAATAGGAAGATTCAAAACATCATGTGACACATTTCGATGTTGAAAAGTGAAGTGTTGACCTAAACACGCTGTGAGACTCTCACAAGGAGTGTTATTAGATCTTTAACCTCCGTAGATTACGTAGGCTTAATAATAACAAATGGAGATTGGTGTCTGCTTCAAAGAATGAGTGTTCTCCATAAAACTGCCTACCTGGTATTATTTGTAGTGTTGGTTAATGATATTCGCTGCATAATGTAGAATAAGTTTTATTCGCAACGAACAAGAAAAAAGATAAACAACCACGAACGAAAACAACAATCGAATAAACACGAGAAAAAAAGAGAAAACAAGAAGCACCAATCACCAAGATGAATGGTCATGACTGACTGATCAAGAGAGAGATCAAACAAGTTCAAAGAAGATCAGAAACAAACTAAGTTTAGCGTTACGGAGCGTCATCTGTTAACGCTAACACCTTCCCTTTTCGGTCACGATTGATCTTCGGGTGGGTGTATAGAGAAAAATTGCCATGACTAATTTCGTCCTTCCTCAAGGGAGTCATTCAGGCAGTTTTAGCATTGCATAAATTCCAAGCAACGAAATTTCGCAAGATATTCAAAGAACATCTTCCAAAGAGATCATTTGATTGAAATTGCAAAGCCGAGATTTCTGAACATAATAAAATTATTATGTAGAGAAGCATTGATTATGTGGTAGAGGTACTACGATTATAGTTTCGATCTTTGTCAAGGGCCAGTTCTCTGGTACCCTGGGTGTGGGCATGTATATAATTGAATATTTTTAGATGCCAAGCTACTTACAACGCTTTTCGACCTTGCTTAAGGGCCCTCGTCAGGTAAATTCAGAAACTTATTAACTTCATATCGATCAAATTTCAAACTAGTAAAAATTCTATGAAAATCTCATAAGAAATGAAATTTCCAAGAAATTCTCAACCAAGTCTTTGAAATTGACCACTAATATTTCCAAATCTTTCGAAAAAGATAAAGAAATATTAGAAATCGCAGTAAAATTCAATTAAATTAATAAGTGATTTTTTTAGAATGCGAAACGACTGTTTATTCGTACGATCGATGATATGAAAATAACAGCGAATGCTAGAATTTATGCACCTCTCGGTAATGTGCGAAAGAGAATGATGAAAAGAGTATATAAATAGTTAAAGAAGAAAAGACGGATGTTTATCATTAGATTTTATGTCAATAAAATGTGATGAATGGTTTCAATCTTACTTAATAATCTCATCAGACTGCATATCCGTTTAAGATTCAAGAAGAAGAATCCAAACAAGATATATCTTTTTCGTTGAAAGAAATCCTATGCAGAAAATAGTTGATTCTGTTAAGATAAACTATGATAACATGTCTTTTGATGTTAAGAATAGACATGAAGGGTACAAAGTAAAAATAAAATAAGCTAAATGGGTGAATTACTCAAGGAAGAGTTATAAGAAAGAAAATAGTTTGGAGTGCTTACTTGAATAAGAAGAATATTGTGCACACCAATACAGAGAAGATAATCAAAATATCTACATAGGGTATGAGTGTAGATTCAGCTCTGGTTGTGACTGAGTCTATGAGTTTGGATGAAGAGAATGTTAATACATGCTCTATACCCAGCTCCACACTTTTTTAGAAGACTGTTGAAGTTTTCAGGAGCAAGATAAAATATGGCTTGAACAACAGTAAGCAATGATTTACTCAATATGACAATGGACGAAAAATAAAAGCAACACTGCTTCTTGGTTGATTTGTACTGCACACACGAAAATATTCAATAATTAATTGACTACTGAATAGTGCATCATCTATTTTAGCAAAGTGACTTTCTGGCAATGAATGATCTTGTTTTTTGCGCGCATTCATAGTCTCTTTGGTAAGTTTCACTTATTCGATATAGACAAGAGGGTGTGGGTTTCTACTTTTTAACAAGACTGGTATCACCTCTAACCTAAATTTATGCTTTTAAAATTCAATATACTGTTTTGAAATGGTGACATGTTTGTCATGATAGAAAAATGCCAAAAATGTGCTATTATTCTGTGACAACTTTCTTTTTATTTCATTAAAGACGAAAACTCAAGAGAGAGTTTTTAAGATGACTGGCGATATTAGAGGATTTGATTGTGATGTGTTGGAAAAGTAGAGAAATTCATAAATGTTTATTGTGTGTAATATGGGATGACATGAAAATCATCATCTTAATCGTCCTCTGCTCCGTGATAGTGGTGGCAGTTTCCAAAACGTTATTGTTGAGACTGCTTTCAAGGTGGTTCACACTCTACATGTATTATCGCAGTTTCTTCATAACATTCTTCACTGCTCAGTTCAACATACTGTTTGAATGGCAGAATGGCTTCCAGTTGCTGAAATAATATAAGGTAAGAGTGTAGGCTACAATGAAGAGAAAGAGGACTCACTTTCAACAGACGTGAGTTTCATCTATGATGAAATTTTCCTCCGGAAACTCCACATCGAAATGAATGATCAAATCACCATGTAAGTACGCATGCCTGTTAGGCATACCATGATCTTTTATACAACGGTAGGTGTCAGGCACAATCGGTTTATCTGGCGGATGTTTAATTACTACTTTGTGCCCATCAAGTAGTGTTACGGCACGATGGAAGCCACATAATGATTCAGAAAGATTTATATTTAATTTCATTGCCACATTATCACGTATTCGTTCAAAGATGGAATGTGGTTGCTGCTGAAGAACAACATATACCGTGCCATTTTCTCCTTTGGACTAGTCAAAGAAGACAGCATGAAATGAAACCAATACATATTCTCACTTGATTGCTTCTCCACCGTAACTTCCAGATGCAATACCTACATCCAGATTCTTCATTTTTCCGAATAGCTTTTTACCGTGGCAACTTTTGCAGCAATTTTTGGAAGTAATCAGGGTACCTTCACTATTGCATGATGAGCATTTACGTTGCATCTACTGAATTAAAAAGCCTTTCCGATAGACTACTGTCTCAATATCATCTTCTTCACATTTCGTGCATTCACGACTTATCCCATCGTGACAACCAGTACTATAAACAAAATAACATCAAATGAATACCATAAAACCGAAAATATACTCATGCCCATTGTACTC